CTTTGTTAGTACTAAAACTTAAAGAAAATTAAATTAAAACAACTTACACGTGGACATTCGTAACGGTGAGCGACGACGGCGAGAGGAACCGCCGGAAAAAGAAGAAACAGTTTGGTTCCGAGAAGAACTTCTTGAAGATTCGATAATATCACTCTCAGAAACTCCCAAGGAATTCTCGAAATCAGTTTCAGATCCGATCTCTTCCTTGTCAACGAAGTCGCCGATAGATTCTGCACCGTTCTCCGACCACGTCTAGATATCTCCGCCGTCTCTCTCGTCGGCGTTCGTTTATCGCCGTCGTCGTGATCGCCGCTCCTGCCACCGTTCTCTAACAGAGAGAGATTCGCTGATGGTTCCGTACTAATCGAAGACATGTTTCTTCGTTGACTTGACTCTCTCTCTGCTACAAAACACCAAAACCCTTTTTTCCCTATAAATCTGAAATGTGAATATGTATTTAAAATATATATAAATGGGCTGTATAAGACCGTGTCTTTTTATTTAATTTAATTTTTTGACGTCTTTCTATATCATTTTCTTTTTTTTGGTCAACGTTAATGTGTCTAATTATAATAATAATAAAAGAAATTGCTTCAATCTCGCAACTGTAACTGATACGAATTTTTATGTTTGGTTTGTCTTATTGCAAATGTTGATTTTAATTTAATTTAACGTTTAAAGACAATTTTAGTTAAATGTTAATGACATTATGGTTCTAATTGATCATTCATACAAATGTTAATAATATTATGGTTCTAATTATATACAATTTTATTAATCACATAATTACGCGAAACCTGCAATTGTGCGAGCTTAGAAGAAATTGACTGCTCCAAACAATTTGAGTTAACATTTTTTTCGTTAAATGACTCCGAGTAAATAAACTTTAATTAGTCCTTAATTTTAAAATTTTGACTATTGACTTTAATCGTAGTTGTCTTAGTCTTTACGTGTCGACTCTTACTCCACATGAATTTGACAAATCATCGTTCTATGAACAAATCAAAAGATGAGTCTATGTCTTCATCTTGCGAAAATCGCTCAAAATTTCTATATATTTTAAAATTTACTCTTAATTTTAGGTGTCATCATGACCTAAACTTGCATAAAAGGGAAGCCTTGAGTACAGAGCAGCAATACAAGAAATTCGGGTTGTTAACACTCTATGCTACGTCAGTAATTAACCAATATCAACAAGCACATTATCCAACTTTGTAGACATGGACCAGAATTTGAAATAAGCTTGATAAAGTTCGTGTGTATGTTTATAGTTTTTTTTTTTTTTCATTGAAGTTGCATTATAAACTCAGTCTAGTTGTATTGAATATTGATTTTGTATACACTAATACACGCCAATAATTGACAAGAGAAGTAAAAAAAATAAAATATTTGATAATGTAGATCAATTTATAATGAAATGAAATATCTTTTATTATTATTCGAACATAATACAAGTAAATTGGAAATCGAAATTACAATTCGAAGAGAGTGGCGAATCCTCTCAACGGAGCTTTGGCTCGTTGCCATCGTCTCACATTATCTGAGAAAAATAAAAGTTACTTTACTATGTATGCTCTTTCTTCGACCTAAGCAGAAATTAAAAAGTGGAGAGATATTTTAACTCACCGGAAGAGTCTTTGTCGTCGGCTGCGAGAAGAGAGCTACGGTTTGATAAGCAGAATTGTTTTGCTTTTACTTTTGCATGGCTCGGTTTTGGTTTTACTCTTGTATGGCTAAAATTACTTCTGAATAAAAAAAATCAAAATTGGTTAACAAAGTGATGATACAAATAATACAAAGCCCAAATAAAGCAAACAAACTACATAATTAATAAAGGAGATAATTACTAGAATGACTTTGAAAAGTAGGTTAATTACTAGAATGACTTTGTCAAATCTGTAAACTTGACACAACTTCATAAAAGACCAATTAACCTTAGTAAGATTTTTTATTAACAAAATTGCCACTGCAAAACCTAAAAAAAAAAAAAAAACATATTCAGTCGGGTTTTGTTTTTCACGCATCATCTTCTCCGCTCCATGTTCAAAAACGCGGTCTCCGCGGTCGCTCAGGCGGCGGTTAAGCGCTCGGCGGCCCGGAGCCACCGCGATTTTGATGTAATCGGCCCTTAACTCCGAACAATCAAGAAAACTTAGTTTTTATTGCTTTTTAGGTTGC